AGGTCCATGTCGTCGTATAGACCCTAATATAACAGCTACATTCGGTATTTTTAAGATTTTAGGAGAATTTTTAACGGATTTTATTGTTTTTTTGAGAATTGCCAAGTTCATTCCAAATGGTGGCCCGGCCGAACTTAGAGTTTTTCTACCTTTTCTTCTTTAAATATCTGATCACAAAACGTAGCTAAAATCTCGAAATGTCAATAGTTAAGGAGTTATGACCAACATTAAATGTTGATCTAGCATATTTTTTCCTTTTAAACCCTTTTCAAAAAATGCAGAATTAGGGGCGATTTTCACCTGGAATGGAAATTAGCAGTAAAAACCATCAACACACAATTAACCCTTGTAATATAAAAATTTGGAAGGTATTTTTCGTTAAAAACTATTAAACCTTGCGATGAGATTTATTCTGAAATTTATATTGAAATTTTGTCTAGAATATTTCTTCTTTTGACACTTTCTACGAAAAACGTAGTTTGTTGTTACTTTTAATGCATCAACTCGAAAAAAGGCCGAGAAAAAGAATTTCTTCAAAATAAATTAGGAAATATTTTTGGAACATATATTTACTTGATATCCAATGGAAATGGAGATTTTATTCTTCTCGTGACTTTAAGTGAAATTTCATGTAGAATATTTTTGTCTTTGAAGTCATCTGTCTAAAATGATGCTTTGCAGGAGATTTTTTGCTGAGTGAGAATAGAAAACCAACCGAATGGTTTGGCTGTAGATTAAATTCTAATTTTACTGAAACTAATCTAACTTAACCTAGTCGCAGCCATACAATTGTTCTTATCTATTCTAATACTGAATGGAGAACAGGAGCAGGGCTGCTTGACATCTCATTCAAGTCGTCTTGTGCATCTATTGAGCGCATCGATATGGGTCATAACCTTTATTATCTCTCACATTATCGTGTGCGTCAGCGCACAAGATCACCGAATTCTTCACATGTGATATTTTATGGCGGCTGGGAAATATTTAATTTTAGAACATTTGCCTTTTATTGCTACATTTTCCCAGCGCCTAGATCGCACTCAAAAGTATGTACAAAGTATTTTGTACATTCTCCCGGGCGGCTTAAATGTGTATGTTAATAGTGGACTGTATTTTTATAAAGTTGAATAAACGTATACTATAAAATATTTAAATATAGAAGTACGAAAAGGAAACTAACTATATATGCTCAAACAATCTAATCTAAATATTCTATTAAGTAACTGCTTCCAGGAAACGACTCCATTTCTTTGTCCAGTTCTTCTTGCCAATGCCACCACCTTTATCTGCCGGCTGCATTCTCCATACCGCATTAATCGTCCATCGATGCAGACCGCCATCATTCACGTCGGAAAGGATGTCCATTGGCTCCCTGGTACGCTCTACTTTGTCGTCTTCCGTTCTTAAAGTTATTGGTGGTTTGTGGTGGTGGTAATATACATGCGGAACCAGAGACATTTCTTTGGCTTTTTCTACTTCATCGATGCATTCTTTTCCTGCTAATTTACCACATTCGTCGACAATTTTTGGAGCTTCTGTGCGTGGCGGCTTCTTTTTCCTCTTCTGCAATAAGACTATTTATTACTTTTCTTACAAAACGGTCGTCCTCTTTGCCATTGCACCGATTGGTTTTTAATAATAATTAGAGGTTCCTCCCGAAATGGTTTTCTATATGTCAGCGCTGACACGACACCAGAATGTTCTTCTTCTTCCCGTTCCTCAAAATGAGGACTTGCCGGCGGGAAGCACTTCACAATATTTCCTTCTAAACATCAAATCTGTTTTAGATTAATAGCATTATCTTCCTTTCTTACACTTGCTAGTTGCTTGGACAGGTCATCTTTCTCAGCTTCGAAGACTCGTCGCGCTCTTTCCGAGCTAGCCAATTTTTCATTGACTTTCTTTAACTTCGTTTTCAGATGTCGCACTTGATCATTCTGAACTCGATGTTTTTCTTCGAATTGTTCATCTTTGGCCCGCAGGTTTTCTTCAGATTTGGCGAGCAGATATTTTTCGTGGACAACAAAATACAAAAAATATGGAAAAAAATTGGGAAGAATGCTGACAAATTTAGATTGGAGAACTGTGTTTGGCTTACGGATAAAATTAATTTCGAAATTAAAAAGCAAACTGCAAAAGTCAATTTTTCGGCTGTTGGTCACCCAAAAGCTCAATTTTGCAACAAAAGTGAATATGGAAAAAGAAAAGAAGCATTCGAGCTTTCAAACTCAATAAACAACGAAACAAACTTACTACTACGTGCAGCAGCAACATCGTTCTAAAAGAAAGTTTAGCATGCCCAACTAGGCCCTCAAAAATAAGAAAGATATGTGATGAAACCAATACAAAGCCAATTTTATTTTCTGCAGATGAGACATTAGCTTTTTTTTAGAAAATAATTTTAAAAAGGACCAATATAATGCATTACGCCGCGAAAGTAGATTAAGAAACTGAAATTATAGTACTTTTCTCATTACTTACTCAAGATGGTGATTATGTGACTAATTTTAAGGAGGAGGGGGAGATGACTGCTGGTATTTTAAAATGCAGTTGTGGTAGATCGGTTAATAACTTGTGTCAAAGATCAAACTGATTGCACAATGTATTCTAAAACAACTCGAGAACCTACATTTATCACTATGACTATTTAAAAAATTGGCGGAAAAGCCTGGTTTATGTATGCTAAGTCATGTATTTTTTGTTTAATTTACTGATTTTACACTTTCTTTAACGCTTGCCTTCATTTTAGTTTGAAATAGTACAATATTTTAGTTGTAATTAATTTCACACAGAAAAAAGTGGTCATTTGACCTAGTGTGCACTGGTGGGGGATAACTCAAACCAATTTTATTTTAGGTCGTCGATTCTTTATTTTTCGAAGGACCAATGAATGAGAAAAGAAAGAACAACCTTATTCTTTGGATGTAGTTTCATGAATGAAAATGAATAGAGTCCAATCTCCCTCTTCGATTGTCAATTCTATTCCGTTTTCGGCTCGACTGGAGCAATATTTAGTGAGAAAAGAAACACGACCGCTTCGTTAGGGTGCTATTTCAATTCTGATTTTATTTGGTTAAATATTTTTCTTAAGAGCTAAGCTACAATATTAATCTTAGGGTATCTTATTTTTAGAACAACCTCCACTTGTCTTCTGTCGGCTGAGTGCATTATCACTTGGGCAATATTTTATGATCGAGCATTGTCTATGTATACACTATCGGACAAAATAAAATGCAAACAAACTGCAACTATAGTATTCTCTAATTTTTTTCTCTTATCAAAAGCAAATTTGATTTTGTTGTGCTTATTATAACAGTACTCTCTTCTCGTCTTTTTCTCAAAACAAAAATCCCGCTAAATCATTATGTTGAGTGTCTGCAGTTCACATTAAGGTGACAGTTCGATTTTACAAGTGATAAAATAAAGTGCATATTGTAGTAATTACAAGAAATTTATAAAAAATATCGTTTAAATTTATGTGGTAAGATCAATAATATTCTCTTGGGCATATGCAAAATGTGTTAGCAAGTATATAATAGCAAAAAAATAATAAAAATAAACCGCTATTTCCAGAAATTAAAAAAAAAATCATGAGACCTTTGTCGAAGGACGTAAAGGACCTGCTGGTTCAGGATCGATCAGAAGGCATGACTTATGCGAATTTTTCAAAAAAATATAAAATTTCGGTGTCAGGTGCAAGAAAAATATATGAAAAATATAAAAGTGTTGGATCTAATGATAGCTGTAAATATCTTTGTGGAAGGAAGCGCGGTACCTCTAAATTGGATGAGGGCCACATTGCAATGGAAGTGAAGAAAAATCCATCAGTATCCTGTAGAATTATAAAAGAAGATTTAAATTTGAGTGTCTCATCAAGAACGGTTCAGAGAAGAATTAATGAAAGAGGTATGAGAAGCTTCTTCGCAAAGAAAAAACCACTACTGCGCGCCGCAAATATAAAAAAAAGACTTTTGTTCGCCAAAAAGTACATAAATATGCCAGAAACCTTTTGGGATAGAGTTATTTGGACAGACGAATCCAAATTTGAATTGAAGAATGAGAAAAGGAGGAAGCGGGTATGGTGCGAACCCTCAGAAAGGATGAGGCCGAAGAATCTTATTCATACAGTTAAACATGGTGGAGGTAACCTTATGGTATGGGGGTGCTTCTCTACAACGGGAGTCGGTCGCCTAGTAAAAATTGATTGCAGAATGACAGGAAAAGACTACGTAAAGATTTTGAGTGAAAATATCGAAGAAAGTGCACGAGAAATGCAATTGGGATCGTTTATTTTTCAGCAGGATAACGATCCTAAACATACTAGCCGAACGGCAAAACAATTTTTTCAAGAAAAATCTATGGAAGTTATGGAATGGCCCCCTTCAGAGCCCAGATCTTAACCCCATCGAACATCTATGGGCCATTTTAGATACCAAAATACCGATGGAATCGCGAACAAACGTTACAACATTCTGGGAAGCAATGCTAAGAGAATGGAAAAAAATTCCGAGTAACACTTTAAAAAATTTGGTCCGAAGTATGCCAAAACGGCTTAAAGCAGTGATAGACAACAAAGGTCGAGCGACAAAGTACTAAATAATATTAAAATATATTTTTATTAAAACATAAAATGAATTTGCACTTTATTTTGTCTAACTCTAATACGAGGTGAAATTATGTTTTTTTCTGTTTCTGAATGAACTACCAAAAATCGTTTTATATTTTTTATATACTATACACTATGACTTAAATAAATGTGGTTTAATTTGAATTTATAAAAAAACCAAAAAAAATTTTTTCATGTACTAAAATATTTTTTCGTCTTTTGCACTTTATTTTGTCCGATAGTTTAGATTAAACTAATGTAAAAATTATGTTCATATTTCTATGAACATCGCATAAACTCAAATAAAGTATGCCTTAAGCAGTAAATTTTATACCAACATTGAATGATTCCGTCAATTATTTTGTGATTACTTTCTTGTATTTTTTTCTTTCAGATTTTTTTTCAACGTGTATGCCAGTGATTAAAAAAAAATACATATAGAAATCATTCATTATTTTCAATCGTAAAAAAAGTGGAAAGAATCATTGGGTCTGTGCATGTGTTCTACATTGACTTGACCAAAGCTACATTTGCATCTGGACGCCTATTGTTTTTTTTTTTCTTTTTGAAAGCTCGGTGAGTAACACAAAGCCATTATTGAACAACAAATATGTGTATGTATGTATGTATAGCAAACTAAAAAAAAAATGCAAAATGGTAGGAAGTAGAGACAAGTGTATCGGCTTAATAAATATTGTCATCGGAAAAAAAACCAAAATAGAGCGGACATGTTGCTGCCTCTTCCACACTTTAAGCAATTTTCGGATTAAGATTTCTTGGAACCGCTGCATTTTAGATATCTTGTGTCTTCGGTAATATTACAGATAACAATATGAGGATGTTTTTGGTAGAATATGTTGACCCTTAAGTGAGTCAACAAGGGGCCTTCTTTGAAACTATACTATGGTTAAAACAACGGAATCGTAGCATTGGGAAATATTCTACAAATTTATTTGTCGTAAGATTCCACTATGGGTCCCAGACGACAATAAAAGTCTAAATCTTATCCCAACGCCAGTAATTTTTATATCCTCAGCCATATGGCTAGAGAGGGTATACAGGGTGAAATAAAAAAAAAAACTGCAACAAAGTCAAACACCATAATTTATACTTTTTTTTAAATTTTATTGAATGAAACCAAAAAAAAGGCGGAAATAGCATGAAATTTCAAAATGTTCACCTTTGGCACGAATTATGGCCTTCAAACGGCCAATTAAACTGTCACACGCTGCCCGAATGTTGCTCTGCGGTATTTTTGACCATTCCCGGTGAAGTGCTTGCTTAAGGTGATCAACGCTTTGGCAATTTTTTAGTGTCAACCTAGCTTTCCAAAAAAAAAAAAAAAACACTCCAGACACAATAGTCCAACGGATTGGTATCCGGAGATTTTGGTGGCCATTGTGAGCTGGAAATGAAGCGAGGAACCTCATTTTGTAACAATTCTTGGGTGGTGGCGCGTGCTGAGTCCAATGTTGCTGAGTCCTGTTGGAATGTCCAAGGTCTGCGGCCAAAATGTTTGCGTGTCCAAGGCTTTAATACACTCTCCAGTATATTTTCGCCATAATATTCGGCATTTATTCTGATGCCACGGTCGAATAATACGAGCGGAGAGCTACCATCGGCTATTATGGCGGCCACACCATCATCATGGCCGGCGCTTGAGTTCTGGTGGCCAGCCGAAGGTGTACATTTTCAGCTGACCTCTTTGGCAAGTAAACACAATCCACGATCATTTTGTATGTTTACAAACTGCTGGACAATGAATGTCTTCTCATCGGAGACGGAGAATGCCAAATTCGGCAGTTCACCACTTTCGGCCAAGCGAGGCAACTCTTTAGCTCTTTTGAGTCTATTTTCTTTCTGTTGCGGCGGTGTATGTTCTTGCATTTTTTCGAATTTCAATGGCTTTACCCCGAGCTCATTTTTCAGTATTTGCCGGAATGGAATATTGCGATATATGTTCAGCTGACGAGCCATTTTTCGGCCACTGCGACGCGGGTTTCGATCAAGTCGCTTCTTTAATTTTCGAATCATTTCTGCTGGTTTCTTCCGTCCACTTTCTTGACGTCGGGCTACGCCACGCCACCAGTATCATGGTAACGGTAACGAGCGATTTTCACTCAAGATTTATTCACATTTAAATGCTGAAATGCTCTAACGATAGCCACTTGTGCTGTTCCAGCCAAATATAAAGATATCACCCGATCACGCTTGAATTCCATCACGAATCACGGGACAGTTCTCACTAAAATGCTTTTGTACACTTGTAAACAATATCACTGGAATAATTGTAACAACTGTCGGACGAGTGGGATTAGAAAATGACAGCAGTCTGAAGTTGGTTGCAGTCTTTGCATCTTACCCTGTATATCGCTTCAATTTTCCCATTTCCCAACAGAGTTTTGGATTCTAAGGCCAACATTTTGAAGGTCTTCATTGTGGCCTTGGTCAATTAGGACCCCAATAATTTGAGTTATATTTCGCAACACTTAATATGGAGCTTTGAAATTTTATGCAGAGCCTAGGATTACTTCAAAAATCAATGTCCGTCAAGATAAATTTGAATTTAATTAGCAAAGACAAAAACCAAGGTGATTTTTTTCTCCGGTTCGCAAATGGTTAATAAAGAGAGAGAGAGCGAAAGATAGAGAGAGAGGGAGTAGTAAACCAGAGAAAAATTAAAGGTAAATTAAGTTATATTATATTTTTTATCAAATTTCATAATTTTCCGTACAAATTTCCAAATTTACAATGAAATCGCTAATTAAAAACATAATTAAAATTTACGTTGAAAAAGTTTGAAACCCTTAACTCTACATTTAAACCGAAAATAAAATATTTAAAAATGAAGCGGTGTTGAGGCTGGGCGCAAATGAAAGGTCTCGAGGAGTACTTTTCGCATATATATATGGACCTTATAGTTAGGGAAATTGCAGATGAAAGGGTCCACAGAACAGAAACTAAAAATGAGCGATAATTCTTCAGAAAATTATCGAACCGAACCGGAGAAAAAAATCACCTTGGTTTGTGTCTTTGCTAATTAAATTTAAATATATCTTGACGGACATCAAAAATCATTGGTTTAAAAATTGGCCATGTCATCGGTAAACCTCAATTTCATGAATTTTTTTTCACAGTTTTCCTCATATTTCCAATAAAATTTCAAAATCTCAATCAGTTTTTGTTATCTGCAATATTGGACCGGTAACTCTATATATATAAAATGCCCGACTTCCATTGAATCTTATTTCGAAATTTTCCAAAAGTGTGGGAGAGGGGGGGAATTCCCCCCCCTTTTTTGGTGTCACTTTGCGGTGTCAAAACGTATCTTCTATTTTTATACCCTCCACCATACTATGGAGGGTATATTAATTTTGTCATTCCGTTTGTAACTGCTCGAAATACTCATGTCAGACCCAACAAAGTATATATATTCTTGATCAGCGTAAAATTCTAAGACGACTTAGCCATGTCCATCTGTCTGTCTGTCCGTCTGTCTGTCTGTTGTAATCACGCTATTTTTCAAACAAATTGAGATAGAAGGCTAAATTTTTGCAGACATGTATATTTTGCCAGTAGGCAGGTTAAATTCGTAAATGGGCCATGTAGGTCCACGTTTTCATATAGCCCCCATATAACGGTACCCCCCCGATATTCGGTATTTTGATGATTTTAGCGACATTATTTAACGGAATCATTCCAAATTTGGTATTTGAAGTTCGTAATAGATACTGCAGCATAAAACAGAAAATGGGCCATGTAGGTCTACGTCTTCGTATAGCCCCCATATAACGGTACCCCCCGATATTCGGTATTTTGATGATTTTAGCGACATTTTTTACCGCAATCGTTTCAAATTTGGGATTTGAAGTTCGTTATGGATACTACATCCTAAGTCGAAAAATGAGCCATGTAGATCCACGTTTTCATAATGCACCCATATAACGGTACCCCCCGATATTCGGTATTTTGATGATTTTACCGACATTTTTTACCGCAATCGTTTCAAATTTGGCATTTGAAGTTCGTAATGGATACTACAGCCTAAGACAGAAAATTATCTGTGCAGGTCCACGTCTTCGTATAGCCCCCATATACCGTACCCCCCGATATTCGGTATTTTGAGGATTTTAGCGACATTATTTAACGGAATCGTTCCAAATTTGGTATTTGAAGTTCGTAATAGATACTGCAGCATAAAACAGAAAAAGGGCCATGTAGGCCTACGTCTTCGTATAGCCGACATATACCGTACCCCCCGATATTCGGTATTTTGATGATTTTAGCGACATTATTTTCCGGGATTGTTTCAAATTTCGCATGTGAAGTTTGTAATGGATACTTCAGCCCATACCAGAAAATTGTCTGTACAGGTTCACGTCTTCGTATAGCCCTCATATAACGGTACCCCCCCCCCCTATATTCGGTATATTGACGATTTAAGCTATATTACAAACAGATTTTTCTTCAAGTTTCGCATTTAAATATTGTGATAACTTATGACAAAAGTCGCCTATGCAGGTCCACGTCATCGTATAGGCATTCGGTATTTTTAATATTTTAAGAGAATTTTTAACGGATTTTATTTTTTTGAAAATTGCCAAATTTGTACCAAATGGTGGAGGGTATTAAAAGTTCGGTCCGGCTTTCTTAAAAACAAGTATAAAAGTATCGGTCGGTTTTGCCGACAGATGTATGCCCTCAGCCAATGTTCGATTATTTAAAAATATTTTGACTTCTGTTATGAATTTTCAAACTCTTGACCCTCTCTGGAGTGGGTTTGGAAAGAATGGGTCAATATTGTCCATTTCATATTGGACCAAAATAAATAAAAATCGAACATTTATATCCAATTAATGGGAATTCTTAAATTCAATATTCATCTCAGGATTCTGGTTGAGAGACATGTATTTAGATATAGCTTTTTATGAGCTTCATGGCTATTCAAAATTTTGAGCGCTTGTGAGGGAGGTACCAGAAGGAGCGGCGGACCGATATTGTCAATTTTCGCACCAGACCTAGCACTGACGCAGATAGTATTATTTGCAAAGTTGGAGCAAAATCGGATTATCGTTTCTCTTTCTGTGCAAAAAATATATTTTATTGAAAATTTCGACCATTTGTGGGGGAGGTACCAGAAGGAGTGAACCGATATATTCCATCTTAACACCAGACCTTGGTTAAAATATAAAAATTGGGATGTGTTAAATTTGAAGACAATCGGAATCTTACATCACATTTTGTGAGAGTTGTAATTATTCAAAATTTTGACTATTTTTGGGGGAGGTACTTCATGGAGTGGACCGATATTGTCCATTTTCACACCTGACCTCGCACTGACGCAAATATTAGGATGTGCAAAGTCGGATCAAAATCGGATTATCCTTTCACTTTCTGTGCAAAAAAAAATATTTTTTTTTTGAAAATTTCGACCTTTTGTTGGGGAGGCACCAGAAGGAGTGGACCGATATTGCCCATCTCCGAACATCGATGTAAGTTTGACAAAAATATTACGATGTATCAAGTTTGCACCAAATCGAATACTCCCTTTGAGAGTTATCGTGTGCACCAGCCAG